GAACATCTCCGCATCTAAATTCAAAGACGCCTTTTAGTCTCCGTGGTCACCAATAAAGAAACCTCCCGTCTCTCTCCCTCCATTAGCTCCTTTCACCCTTTCTCTCTCCGACACATACGTACCACTATATATAGTTATAATACAAGTTATACGCTTATAGGCGATTCTTTATACATTTCTTCTTCTTCCTTTATTTTTTCCCTTCTCTTCTTTTCTTCTTATCCGCATTCGTTTCTCTCTTATCCTTTGGTTAAATAAAGCGATAATAAAATTGGTTCTATTGAACTAATCAATTGCTAACGTGGAATTAAAAGCGCATTAATCAGAATTATTTGTAGCATTTTAACAATATCTCATGTTCGGAGCCTGTATTTAAAACACCTATAATTTTCTGCAATAAAACTGTGAGCCGTGCCACGTTTAATGTCGAATAAAATAAGCAAATAAAGAAAAAATCGCACACGCACTTTGCGTCGGCTAAAAACGCACATGCCTTAAGCACCTTCAATCGACGATAGCCATGAATAAAATACATCGTTTTGCATTTTCTTATAATTGAACCTCTTTTACCAATAAATTTAAATACTTTCTTATAGTTGTAGTTTCTAAATAAGGAAAATATGACATTATAAATTTACTGTTAAAATATGTTTTTTGTTTGCTAAGTTCATAAAATTTACGTAATTAGCATAAAAAATATTACAATTATGTAAATATAATTTGAAATATTATATTTATCAGTTATTTTGCTTATGTTCATTGTTCCTAAAATGAACTAAATAATAGAAAATTTGACTTAACTAAGATAACTATAAGATACAGTGTGATTATGAAATCACATGTACTGGCTCCATATAACTTATGGCGCTGAGAATATTAGAGTGATCTACGAAACAAATATTGAAATTTGTCAAATTGTAACCTGGATTTTATTTTCATTGATGAAAATCAGCTATTTTTACCAAGGCCGCAGCAAACAAATCTTATGCCTTTAACCAAATATTTAATTTGCGCCCTTCTCTACCCAACAAAACTATACTATTATTTGCGCCCCACACGATTGATACGCTCTCTTCGAACGACGGTGATTTTTACAGGTCCTTATAGCTAGACAGATTTTCATGGATGCGTATTATGAAGATTGTCGTATATCATGCGTTTGACACTTGTATACTGTTGTATTTCCGGTGTAGTCTTTATTGTCCTCCCACAAATCGTTTGATTTATATGAAATTTACTTAGAACCATATCCAGCAAATGTTAATCATTTATAAAATAATATTTGAATTTTGTTTATTCTTTAGAATGATAATAATTAAAATTGATTGTGTATAAAAAAAATATACTTACAAAAGACTATTGAACATATTCTTTACTCTAAGTCAAAGATATTTTAGCAAATAATTTATAAAGAAATTAAAATAAATCACAAATTAAAATGAAACATTTACAAACATGAGGTTTATGGCTAATTAAAGTTAAAATAGTAAATACTCTTCTAAGTTTCGAAGAAAATATTGACTAAATTGAATTAATTTTAGTGGCACTGCAATGAAATATAATAGAGACCCTATGAGCGGACGGCAACCTTTTTAGAGTAATGCCATTTTTTTAAGATATTTCCCGTTAAAGTATCCAACGACGTATCCAACGACATGGAGTAGCTCTCTATTATGAAAGAGCCGCAGGTTGCCGACCCTTGCCATGTACATTCACTTACCTTTATCTAATATTTCTAAGTAAAATTGGACAATGTTATTAATAGCATCAAATGATAACATTTTTCATTAATTAAAGCAAAAAAATCTAATATAAAGACAAAATATATGTAAAATAATGAGTAACAAACAATGTACAGCAACAACAGATTTAATAACATTCCTAAATATGATTCTCCCTCTGTCCTAAAATACACTTGGTGCTCTTTTTATGCGGTAGATACGTTCCACAGGAAAACCAGTGATTAAACTTTGCGATGGCTTTGCTATTTTTTTTGTACAATTCCTGATATCCAGAAATGCAATTCTGAAGCTCGCGTTGAAACTAGAATGCTCGTTCAGAATTATTATTTTTTTGGATGATATGGTTTGCCAATTTGTGTCGAAACGTGTCAAAATGGCCTAAAATAGTTATTTAAAAAAATGCTTCTTGAAATAAAAACCGCATAACTTCAAAACCGCATAAAAAGAGGACCAAGTGTATAGTATATATTTGAAAGAAAATTTTAGATTATCTAGAGCAGTGGTCCCCAATCACCGGTCTGCGGATCAAATGGTATCGGACCAAGGAACATATTTTTTCCATTTTATATTCTGAATACATTTTTTTTGCAATTTTCGCATTATTAAGTTGCGTTTTTATAAAAGGTCCAATGTAAATACTATTTCATATCTTCTTTTTTTAAGTCCTTGTAGTGGTCCGCGGGATTAAATTTTGAGTTTAGTGGTCCGTGAGGTCAAAAAGGTTAAGAACCGCTGATCTAGAGTTTCAAAAGCAACTGGAAATACTTATTATATTGGTATTGTTTACATTGATAGTTAAATAACTTAACATATATGACAGGCGTTGCTATTGAAGTGGAATTTGAAGACCAAAAATTAGTTTTAACAAAAATAATTTTTGGTCTTAAAATTTCAATAAAATAGTCACCGTTGTAATTTCAAAATAAAAAATGTAATCCAAATAACGTGAATTTGCAAAGAAGAGATGCCAAATCGAAGCTATTGACTAATGAACAGCGTCATGGTATCTTACAACAGATATTACAGTATATGAAGAACAAAGCAATTTAAGTCATAACCAACAAAGAGTCTCGATTTAAACGTTCTCAATTTGGGTCTATTTAATCACTACAACATGAAGCTTCGCCAAACACAATTGATGAATTGATTGAATGTTTTCAATATGCATTTTATAAATTAGAGAGAAATACTCTTGATCACATTTTTATAACATTACAAACGTGTATGGAATCAATTATGTTAGCAGGAGTTGAATTTTCTATAAAAATCCTCATATAAATAAAGAAGCGTTCAACAAGGCTAAAACTCACTTTAACTAAATTTGGATTGCACTAAAATTATTTGTATTTAGTTATATTGTGATAATAAAATGAATTTAATACTTTTTATGTTTAATTTTAGTTTTATTTCATTTTTCTCTCATATTTTTAGACAAAAACAAAATTAAAATGCATACCATATAAAAAAATACATATAAAAAAAACACTATTGACCGTTTATTTTGTTTAATAAATTTGTATTTTGGAATGGAAGTATTTTGTTGAATATATAAGTTTTCAAATAATATGATTTATATCAAACGATAAACAGCAACAATTCGGTCGTCGACCTTTACATTAACGATCGTTATTATTAGATAATAAGTAAATACAAATGTATTGACCTTCTGTACTTGTGCGTAGGATTTAAGGATCGAGAGGCTAAATAAAGAAGTGATTGATTAAATGGCAATAGCGCATTTGTTTCATGTGCGCCGCGCAGAATACTTACATGCACCGTATACTTATTAATTAACTGTCAAACATGAACTGTCGTTTGAAATAATAATCATGTTTGCCTTGTATAAAAATATATATAAATATATACATATATTTATATATGTACGAAGAGCTTTAATGCGTGTAGCTAGTGTAGTTTTTCGTTGGTGTCTGCAGGCAGTGAGCAATTTTTAACCTGGGGGAGGACGGTAATTTTCGGACACCTCGAGTGTTCCCAACTTGAGGAACTGAACGCATGGTCGCCGTTGCGTAAACGAAGAAGGTACATAATTAAACGAATTAAAATAACAAACTCCCCTTCATTACTTATATAACCATGAAAGAAGGAAACAAATAATAATAATAAAAAAATAATAAAAGAGGATCGAACAAGCGCGCTGACCAATCCTTAATTAACTTTCTCACGACTCTCCTTAATCACCAACTTAGAGAGAAAAAACAAACAAACATCATCATTACTCGAATTGAAATGTATTAGAATTTTTGCACGAGATTATTATACTTACTATTAAAAAAATTTATACGCACATCATTCTGGAAATTGGAGGAAACGTAAAATAAGCGAAAAACATCCATTTAAATATTTACCCACGTTTTTTATTCTTATTCAATATAGATACAAACTAAAAAATAATATTTATATTTATTTATATATAATAATTTTTTTTTCATATAATATATAATATAGTTAACCAAAATAAAAATACACAAATAAAAAATATTTTAATATAATATACAGCATGTACACAACTTTGGTTCTTCTTTTACTTTTAATTAATCATTTATTTATACATGTAACAATTTTTTAGGATATCAAGAGATAAACATAGATAATAGGGTTTAGGGGCTACGTACACATTTATAGACAGCTTGAAACTTGCAAAGTACGTGTCACTTAGATTTACAAATTTCAACAGAACAAAAAATAAAAATAAAACGAACGAAAATGTGATGGAACCAAACACAGTAATTGGTTCGTCTTAACGTTATACTATATGTACTATATATATAATGCAACTAATAAATACAAAAAAAATAGTGAGATAATAAAATATATGCATACAGAATATAATTAAGTACTTTGTACTCTTATTGTCAAAGAAGATATATTTATATTTATTACATTTCATATATATATTTTCATTATTCATAACACATACGATTTAAGAAAAAAAAACGAAGTTGTTGGACCTCTTAGGATAATTCCACAGCGTGGTTTATTGTCTTATTGCTGACCAGTCTTATTATTATTTATTTATTATTATTATCATATTTTGTCTAATTTAACCAAGTAAATATTTTTTTTTGTTGTTGCTTACATAATAACAAACATTTTCATCCTATTACGAATTTCTTTATTTAAAAAAAAAGTTGCTTATTTATTTAATAATATCTGAATATAAAAATATATTATTTACTTTTATTTATAAATATCGGATTTTTTAAATTATTAATATTATTATACATATAAGATCTTCATCATAAAATATTTAATTTTCATTTTTTTTTTTGTCAATTTTTAACTTATTTGGAGTATTTCAAATCAAGAAAAAGAGATAGTTTTTTTTTATTTTGGTTCGCATGATTGTTCCATTTATTTTGACTCTCCACGCATAGATATACCAAAAAAATATTATTACACACATTTCGGTGCGGTTTGGTTATGTAAATTTGCTTAAGTTAATGTTGTTTTTTTTTTAATACACTGACGTCAGCGGGAATGTATTTAAAATTAAAATAAAAGTGCCAAGAAGAACGACGCGAAGTAGATTAGGATCGGTGCGTTGCGACTGTATGCGTATACACGGGCGAAATAAATATGAATGCACGAGGAAGAAGGAAGGTAGTAACAAAAACGATCTCTTGTCTTGTTTTCGGCTTATCCTGCTACTAGATTGATCCAGAAAATTGAACAAGTCACCGCATTTTACTGGCCATCAAGATCAAAGTTACCTTATCACATCTACATGTTCTTGTTCAATATTGATGTCGTGGAGGCATTGTTCAAAGTGTATGCACGGTAGGAAGAGACTGTTCTTTTAGTTTTCTTCTGTTGTTTGATTGGGGAGAAGAAACAAAAAACAATCTAGAAGGAAAGTAAGAGGCGCTTCCTAATTTCTTTCTCTTTTTTTTCTTGTACCGTGTCATTAACTTTTGCGTCACAACGCAGAGTTCCATTGTTATGTGGTTCACACAGTTTATTGCACATTATAATTACACCAATTTGAAATCACTAATCGTTGGCGCGTTAATTGCTGTAACACGTTTTTCGGACGTCGGCGAGGATTTCACTGAAGTCGTCCTCGTTCTTTTGCACGCCGTTCGCGACTATCTCATGTGGATAGTCGGGATAGTGTGGCAAATTGGGCTCCGGCTTGACGTTGGTGTTGGGCAGGATAACGGAAGGATGTTGAGTTTGGAAGTTGTATGTCATATTCGAATTGATCACGTCGTTTCTGCTGTGATAGTTGTGATTTGAGTCGATGATGTTGGACTCCTGGTTGGTGAATTTGAGATACTTGTCGAACTCTCTGGTGTCGACGTCGCTGTCGACATCGCTGCGTTCTTCAACCTGCTGTTGTTGTTGTTGTTGTTGTTGTTGTTGCTGTTGTTGTTGCTGCTGCTGCTGCTGTTGCATCGGAGGGTAATTCTGCACGCCGTAGCTTTGATACGGTATGCTGAGATCATATTCTTGCTTATTGTCTAAGATCATCTCGGTGGGTTTCTGGCCGTATGAAATGTAATCCTGTTTGGGCATTTCCTGCTGTTCCATCATGCCATGCATCTCTGGGTTTTTGTAGTAGTCCTTGGCGTAGTACTGTTGCAGATTTGCAGCGGAGTAGTAGTGGACTGTGCTTGTAGTATTTGCCATGGTGTTCAAGTTATTCTGATGGCCTGAGCCTAGAAGTTGTTGATCTTGGGATGTGGCTACAGGAGGATAGAACGTTCCTGTAACGACGTGTCCTTGCTCCACACTGCTTTTGTTGGCGCACATGACATACATTCCATTTGCCATAGGAACTGATGTGATCGCTTGTGCGCTGGTGTAGCTAACAGAGCTGGGCTGACGGTAGTTTTGCACCCTGAAGTTCTGATTCTGTGTTGGGCTCAGATTGTTCGACATATTAGAGCTGTGTTGAATGTTTGACAACCTCGGCTTCTCCTCGAACTGCTCCTGCTCCAACGGCGAGAGCTCTGGCGTAGGCAGGACGGGCTCCTCGGAAGAATCCTTTTGCTCTTGGCTAGGGCTTTTGGATGTCTTTACCAACGACTTGGGCTCGGGGGAATGCGTCGGCGAGATGTCGGGGGTGTGCAGAGAGTAAGGACTTTTGTCGGCATAGGAAGCCGGGTAATTCTGATAGCTGTACTGATTGTACTTGTTCTGGAAGCCGACCGGACTGTAACGTTTCTCCTGGAAATCGTTGTTGTTTTGGTTGTTGTACTCCATACTGTTGAAATTGTTCTGCGGCACGTTGGATGGTAGGCTAGCGTTAGGAATGTAGCCTGTATACCTGGGGGACATGTTCGGAAGTCCTGGGCTGGGCATGGATGTTCCCACCCTCGCCCCGGGTCCCGTTGGTGGTCGTTGCTTATTATGTTTCCTGCGTCGAGGCCTGTACTTGTAATTAGGGTGCTCAGTCATGTGGATTACTCGTAGTCTTTCCGCTTCTTCAACGTAAGGTCGTCTGTCAGAAGGTGCCAACGATCTCCACATTTTACCTGTAACAATCAGAAAAAAAAACCATCAATTAAGAAACTCGTATGCAAAAGAAGCGCGATGATAATCATCATCCGTTTCAAATGATTTCGGGGCACGTGACAATTGAACCGTGCAACCTCTGCCCGAAAACGCCGGACAGGACACACCTTCGAAATGCCCTTTCAAAATATAATAATCAACTACCTGCCAACCTCGACTCGCCCAGCGTTCAAAAATACCGAAAATACAACGGATCACAATGGGCCATGGCTCGTAACCATCCGTCATTCAATTTCCAAATACTCCTCCTCACCCTTCTCTACCCATCTCTCACTCACTCTACGTAATATTTTCTCATTAACCAGCTTGTATATATATATATACACACAACATTTACTTTTTAATTCTTCCTTCTTTTTTGGCGATTGATTTAACGGGTCTTGCCGCCTGATCACCCACGCACGAGGGCCTCGCGAGTCCAAACTAACCGCGTTTAATTTGAATATATTGTGACATTGAATGTAAATAAATTTGTTTTTATTGGAGATTTTACGAAGCCAAGATGTCGCCACATTGTGTTCAGATTATGATTTATACATCAGAGAAGAAGTAACCGCGTTTGCCGAGGAGACCGCGACTTTCATTCACTCCCCCTGATTGCCGCTTTTACACCGGAATGAATGGTCCGTAGAGAATAAAGAAGAGAACGAGCAGCGAGAAGGAATAAAAGGACGAAACGAAAGGAACAACAAAAAGTAGAAAAGGAAGCACAAAACGGTCTTTTCGCTGAAATTACAACCGTCACACGTGCCCACTCGATGGTCTTATAAATACGGGTTCATTAAAGCCTACAACGAAATAAAAAATAGAATGACAAAAAGACTTGAATCTTTTCTTTGAGTTAGAATTGAATCCACCAAAAATGTTTAGAGTCGTGAAAATAGGTGGAACATGGATAATTTATCAAGTGCTACGGTACTCATACTTTGAGCTTTACGATTTATCAATAATATAGACGTAGCGTGGACCTATGTACATATAGATTTATAATATTGTAAAGGATCATCTGATTGATGATGCAGTCCACGGGTGGCCTAGTTAATGCGGCATTCGCAGCGTGGCGCCACTATAGTTAGGTAGCCTAGCGGCGGGATATCACACTAACGCGCGCTCAGAGGACCCACTAAAATGCATCAGTTTATTGCGTTTGGGCCCCCATATCGAAGCAGTTTACGACCGAACCACCGAAAAATTGGTAGTGGATACCATGTAAATTAAGTAATTTAATTGTGAACGGAAGCGCGGCCATTCAGCTGTGACAAGCCAACAGAACAAATTACAGGCCATTTGAATTTCGTTGTTGTTGCATTATTAAAAGCTCCTCTTGGAGGCAATTTGAATAATCTTAATCTCGTATATATTAAATACGCTTCCAACCAGACGCCGAACGGATTTGTATATCTGCAGCAAATGATTCAAAGCTTCGGATCGAGTAAATTCGTTATTATTAGCCAGCTAATAAAGTTCTACGTCTACGTACGGTCTGGTCTACGTGGGATTGAAAACTGGAGTTGCTCTAATGTACAATTTGACAGGTCATTAGTTTTCCATTCGGAATATAAATGTTCGGGACTAATCCGTGTAATACATTTTAATCGAAATTGCTCTATCTTGTTCCAGACAACTGCTGGCACGTTGCCGCGATGATGATCCCAGTTACAGTCTTACTCTCGTCTCGTCCAATCGTCCAATGCATTCTACAATCAAGGACGGCTCGGGACGATGGTTTATTCATTTCCACTTTTACGACTTGGAAGTAAAATCTTCGAAAGAAAGTGGATGTTATGGATTTGGATACGACGGTCCCATTGTCGCTAAACTAGGTGACGACGGCGACGGTACTTTTAGCCAACTAACGGGTTCTCTTTTTGTAGTGGCCAACAAAAACAACAACATCGACGGCTCGAAATAATGAAGAACGAAAAACTGACCGAAGTGGTTCACCCATTTCCCGGTACCACACAGAATGTTCTCTTTCTCTCTTTGTAAATACTTCCGTCTCTCTCATTTCTGCGTTACGTCAATTTAAATTAATCTCCGATCGCAATCTCGGCCAGACATTGTGCGATTATAAATTAGATTTCCATGCAAACGGACCTCCAGATTGATTTGCTGCAATAAATTCACGATGCATAAAGCATATCTAGATTCATTTCGACAACAGCGATATTAATTGGATTAATTAGAAACAGGCTAATTTTAACGTTATCGGCAACGATTAGACGCCTAATCAATTCATTTATTGGTTGAATAAAAGTGTAATTGCTTTGGTTATGCTATGATGATTTCGAGAAATGGGATAGCTATAATTAATAATGTATAAAGTAAATCTCATTTGAATGACAACGGAAAGGAGGAATATTAATTTTAATTTAAGGCGAAAAGGAACACACACAACAGCAACTTATATATATATTAAAAAAAGCTAAATAAATGAGGATGAATAAATGTCAAAACTATTAATTCGTGTCATGGTGAGTTTCCTGGGCATCCTTTGCCAACTCACTGTGAGACGCGAGAATAAATGGGACGCTTAGAGAGAGAGTTATGACCGTTCTTAGGGGATGTTTGTGGGGCCACCCGTAGCGGTACAATCGCTCTGTCAATCACCAATCACGCCCCCCAATAATTAATCATCCTCCATCCTCTATGGAGAAGACTGCAGGCTTATCGCGCAAACCTCAAGAGCGGAATGCTTAGGACGACGAACATAGGTGTATCGGACAGTGTATCTTGGAAAAAAGTCCCATTTCATAAAGCTTTAATAAACGTCGATGATGCGGGGAGGAAGGAAATAATGTAATTAGCCCAAACGCAGATGCAATGTGGAAGTCTCCCGATGCTTTGATATTCTTGATCCTCTTCCAGACCCGAGGCGCATGGCTCTAATCCAACGTATGAACTCATTACGGAGCAATCACGAGGCAGCCTTGCCTTCTACTCCTTTTTCTTTTACTACGAGATCGTAACTGTGCAGATTGCTTTAGGAACGATCTTCGGCATTATTATTAGCTTTCTTTTTTACTTATAACTTTTAATGAATCGATTTCTACCTAAGTAACTGTTCCCACCCAATCGACGATCTCGCAGAATACTTTCTTTCTAATTCAGCAACGTTGCAAACCGAGAGAAGAATGCAAATATTATTTAATTGCAATTTGTATAATCGTATGGTAATCACTTGTAATTGAATGCTAATAACACGTTCGAGAGCAAATAATGACTCAAATATATCCTTATATTATCATACATCTTGACCATAAACACAATGATCCTTGTAACAAGAAGATCACTGATCTATTTGATTTTTGCAGCCTACTGCGCATTACGTAAAATTCAGAATTAAAATTAAAATATTTTAAAAGAAAGAATTGATTTATTTAATTAAATAATAATTACTTTATGGAATAAGGTTATTGTATTGAGATATTTAAATTATATTGTTAGTTGTAATTATATTATGGTAAAAGGGCTCTAACTCCTCAAGGTAAGTTAATGCGTGCGTCATTGGCTGAAAGTGGGTTCGTTTGCAAATATATTAGGCGAGTTTAAAGCGCCGTCAAATAAGTCATCAGTGTGAAATTAGTTTTGTACTTTGTTGTGGAGAGCGCACGGCTGAAGAATGTGCCGGGTGGTGATTTGTTTCGATATGTGCTTTGGTAAGGTGGATATGGATACCGAACAAACACAGCAAGAGGGAGAACCAGAAGAAGACTTGGATGATGGTGATGATGAAAGTGGAGGAAGGTGGAGGAGGAGATGAATAAGAAGGAAAAGCTACACTCTCGCAGCGAGAAGACTCGGGTTGAGAAGGAAAATAATAAAAGGAATATATAAATATGACAAGAACAAGTGCCGCACCCAAAACAAAACACTGTCATCCAGACAGCTATGACGAGAAATGCATGATGAGTATTAATAATTCATGTTTTTCATTCAATCCCGCGTGTTGGTGGAACACAGTTTTTGGGTCGGACCATCTTAATAATAATACAACATACATACACACATATATGAGTATAATAAAAATGTTACTTCGTCTCCTCCACCACACGAACACAAACAACAACGAAACTCATTTCATCGTTGAGAATCCAATTCCCTTCTCGATTTCATTTTCAATTTGTTTGTTTTATTTTTTTTCTTTAAATTGAAGTTATGGTAATAAAGTCGTATGGAAATGTTGAATAGTACAGATAACCATAAATATGATATAATGAAATTAGTTTTTATGTGTGTACAGGATTTCGGTATAAAATGTGATAGCGGCGCGAGGTTTTCGCAGGAGCCAAAAGTTATAAATCATAGGGCAGCACCGTTAAAGGTGTATTTATTGCGGCCGAAATGAAATACGGCCTATTGTGTCCATCGGCAGATGCATCCTTCGCGCAAATTGCAATGTAACACATTTTGCGTAATAACAATCAGCAATAACAATATCGTTTTAAAAGTTCGCGCGACGCCCCGATCCTGTACAGCGGACGCATTCAGAAATCTCCGACGAGGAAAGGTCGTGACCGATCGATATCTTCGGGTTCTTTCAACGCTGCACAATCATCGTTCAATATTAATGTTAAAATATATATTTAATTCTTTACAAGCGATTTCCATCCATCTGATTCCGTTCACGATGGAACTGAGCAAGTCCTAGCTATGTCCTCGAACTTGTCTCATTCGCTCAGAACTAGTTTGATTTAGTAAAAGCTATTTGGGTTTTTGTTTTTCGATTTTCTTTTCGGTTTGGGGGCATTCGTTGCGCGATGAATTCCTTGTCACATAATGCGTGTTTGGCAGGTTATGTCAGTGGGGTGGAAGCGAGAGATGGGAGAGTCCCGTGGTGATGTCTTGTTGAATCCTGGCCAGAGTATGAGCTATGTGTATCTGTCTGCATGGTTTGACATAGCATTCATCAGCTGTCTGGACTCGGTGTCCGAGCGGCTCGATATCATTATTAATATAC